AATTGAAAAAATGTTTAGATGTTTAATAGCTACACATACCTGCTCATGAAAGAAATTTATACCCAGCAGTAAAGCATAGCAATACTAAAGGAAGTGGCAATGGAATTAGATTCATTTTACTGGGTCATGAGTGTGTGTATGTGTGTGTCCCTAAACACCGCATAAAGGATTATTCTAGTCTATATCTGTTTTGTTCCTTCTTGGTAGCAAGCAGGAACATAGGTGTATATTTCTTTTTGGATTTAAAAATCTGATTTATTAAGTATTTTAATTAAAAATACTTTTATATACAGGAATATTATTCAAAAAGATATCCTCACTAATTCTTCAGAAAATGCAATGGTCTAAAATTTTAATGCAAGTTGACATATGTTCTAAAGTAAGGAAAGTAAAGGAGGACCACTATTTATTAAAGATTTTTTAAAAGGACATACCATAAAGGAAAGGACTGGCACAATTTAAAACTTCTTTTCATCAAAATACATCATAAAGAAAATGAAAAGTCAAGTCATTAGGGAAAGACAGTTTTAACACATATAACTGACAAAGGGCTGGTATCCATAATATAAGAACTGCTTCAAAAAAAAATAAAGACAGGCCAGGCACGGTGACTTACACCTGTAATCCCAGCACTTTGGGAGGCCAAGGCGGGCGGATCACGAGGTCAGGAGATGGAGACCATCCTGGCTAACACGGTGAAACCCTGTCTCTACTAAAAATGCAAAAAAATTTAGCAGGGCGAGGTGGCGGGCGCCAGTACTCCCAGCTACATGGGAGGCTGAGGCAGGAGAATGGCATGAACCGGGAGGCGGGGCTTGCAGTGAGCCGAGATCACGCCACTGCACTCCAGCCTGGGCGACAGAGCAAGATTCCGTCTCAAAAATAAATAAATAAATAAATAAATACAAAACAATAGAAAAATAGAGAAGAGTATTCTTTCGGCTAGAGCAGCCATCTTCCATAGTTCGCCAAAATGACGAACACAAAGGAAAAGAGGAAAGGTACCCGATGTTTGTTCTCTAGGCCTTTTAGAAAACATGGAGTTGTTCCTTTGGCCATGTATATGCGAATCTATAAGAAAGGTGATATTGTAGACATCAAGGGAATGGGTACTGTTCAAAAAGGAATGCCCACAAGTGTTACCACGGCAAAACTGGAAGAATCTGTAATGCTATTGGCATTGTTGTAAACAAAGAAGGGCAAGATTCTTGCCAAGAGAATTAATGTGTGTATTGAGCACATAAGCACTCTAATAGCGGAGATAGCTTCCTGAAACATGTGAAGGAAAATGATCAAAAGAAGCCAGAGAGAAAGGTACCTGAGTTCAACTGAAGCACCAGCCTGCTCCACTCAGAGAAGCACCCTTTGTGAGAACCAATGGGAAGGAGGCTGAGCTGCCGGGGGAACCTATTCCCTATGAAGTCATAGCATAATTGGTGTTTAAAAAAATGATAATAAAAGACCTCTGGACTGTAAAAATGTTTCTCTTCATTGGGTAGAAGTGTGGTGTCCTCTCCCTCAAATAAATATTTAAAGCAAATTTTAATTGTATCCTAATTCATGTAATGTCTTTACTAGTCAAAATTAATGTATTTCTTGCTTAGACGTGACATGGCTTATTGTGCAACAAATTACTCAATTGGTTAGAAAACAGCTAGATATTATTTATGAAATATTTGTTCTAGTTTGAAGATAGTCCCTCTAAATCATTATGGAAGAAATAAAATAATTTCCAAAAAGAAAAAAAAAGAAAAATAGACAAAAGTAATGAAAGGGCATTTCACTGAAAAGAAAATACCAATGGCCAGTGAACCTATGAAAAGAAGCTCAATGTGGATAAATAAGTAAACTGTGATACACCCATACAATAGAATATTATGCAGGAGTAAAAAGAAGTAAGTAATCAAGCTATAAAAAGACATGGAGAAAACTTACAGGCATGTTTTTCATGGAAGAAAGCCAATCTGAAATGGCTCCATACTGCATGATTTCAACTATATGACTACGATGGCTAATTCTGTGTGTCAACTGGGCTAGGCCACAGTTTCTATATATTTGGTCAAACATTATTCTAGATGTTTATCTGAAGATTTTTGTTTTGTTTTGTTTTTTTGTTTTTGAGACAGAGTCTCCCTCTGTCGCCCAGGCTGGAGTGCAGTGGCGTGATCTCTGCTCACTGTAACCTCTGCCTCCCGAGTTCAAGTGATTCTCCTGCCTCAGCCTCCCAACTAGCTGGGATTACAGGCGCCCACCAGCACAGCTAGATAATTTTTGTATTTTTAGTAGAAACGGAGTTTCACCCTGTTGGCCAGGCTGGTCTTGAACTCCTGACCTCAAGTGATCTGCCCGCCTCGGCCTCGCAAAGTGCTGGGATTACAGACGTGAACTACCGCGCCTGGCCTCTGAAAGTATTTTTTAGGTATAGTGTAAGCCAGTCGACTTTGAGTAAAGCAGATCATCCTCCATGATAAGGGTGGACCTTAGCCAATCAGTTGAAAGCCTTAATAGACAAAAGACTGGTCTCCCCTGTGGAAAAGGGAATTCTGCCAGCAGATTTCCTTCAGACTTAAACTGTAACTCTTTCCCGAGTCTCCAGCTTGCCATCCTACCCTGCAGATTGTGGGCTTGCCAGTCTCCACAATCATGTGAGCCAGTTTCTTAAAATAAATCTCTCGCTCTCTCTTTCTCTCTGTCTACATCCTATTGCTTCTGTTTCTCTGGAGAACCTTGATGTACACAATGACATTCTTTAAAGGGCAAAACTGTGAAGGTAGTAAAAAGATCAGTGGTTGGCAAGGTTTCAGGGGGAGGGAGGGATGAACAGACAGAGCACACAGGATGTTTAGGGGAGTGAAACCATTCTGTGTGATACTATAATGGTAGATAAATGTCACTGTACATTTGTCAAAACCTATAGAATGTACAACACCAAGAGTGAACCCTAATGTTAACTATGGACTATGGTTGATAATGATGTATCAATGTTGGCTCATTGATTATAACAAATATCACACAACACAGATGTTGATGCTGAGGGAGGCTGTGAATGTGCTGTGGTGAAGGGGTTAACTCTGTACTTCCCACCCAATTTTCTTATGAGCCTAAAATTGCTCTAAAAATAAAGTCTCTTAATTAAAAAAAAAAAAAAAAAGAAAAAAAACCCTGCCTCTTTAAAAAGAAGAAATTATAAATTAAAACACAATGAGAATATAATTTTAGATCCACCATATTGAGAAAAATAATTTTTAAAATACAAATTATTATTGAAGACATGGCACAAAAGGAAATTGTATATACTGCTGTTGGGAGTGTATATTGATATAATCACTTTAGAAAAGAGTTTGGCATTGTCTAGTAAAGTTGAAGCTGACTTCAGCTACAGCCTAGCAATTCCACTTTTGAACACATATCCTAGAAAACAGATTCTCAAAGTGTCACCTGACTAGTAGCATTAGAACCACCTGGGAACTTGCTAAAGATGGAATTATCAGACCCTACCCCAGACCTACTGAATTAGAAACTAGAGAAGTGGGCTTACCAATCTGTGTTTTAAGAAGCAGGCCAAGTGTGGTGGCTCATGCCTGTAATCCCAGCACTTTGGGAGGCCAGGCAGAGGGATCACTTGAGTCCAGGAGTTTGACACCAGCCTGGGCAACATAGTGAGACCCTAGTGCTACAAAAATAAAAATTTTAAAAAAATTAGCTGGGTGTGATGGTACATTTCTGTAGTCTCCACTACTTGGGAGGCTGAGGCAGGAGAATCACTTAAGTCCAGGAGTTTGAGTCAGTGAGCTATGATTATACTACTGCACTTCAGCCTGAGCAACAGAGTGAGATCCTGTCCTAATTAAAAAAAAAAAAAAAAAGCTGTCTAGATGATTTGAATATATTAAAAAGGTCTGAGAGCCACTATCTTAAAAAGAAACTCTTGCACATGTGCTCCAGAAGACAAGTACAAGAATGTCCAAAGCAATATTGCTTGCAATGGCAAAAACTAGCAAAAAGACAAATGTTCATCAACAGAAGAAAGTATAAATAAATTATGGCATTTTTATACAACAGAATACAATATAGAAGTAAAAATAAATAAATAACAATGTCTTAGTTCATTTTGTGCTGCCATAACAGAGTATCTGAGACTAGGTCATTTATAAAGAACAGAAATTTATTTCCTACAATTATGGAGGCTGCAAAGTTCAAAATCAAGATGTCAGCATCTGGTGTCTGGTGAGGGCCTTCTTGCTGTGTCTTCACATAGTGGAAGGTGGAAGGGAAAAAGGGGACAAATGCTGTGTCCTTACATGGCAGAAGAGTAGAAGAAAGTGAACCTACACTGCAAGCCCTTTTAATAATGCCATTATTCATAAGGGTGGAGTTCTCATGGCCTAAGACACCTCCCCATTAGGCCTTACTTCCCAACATTGGGAGTTAAGTTTTCAACACATGAATTTTGGGGAGCACATTGAGACCACAGCAAACAGCTACAAGCATGAACATGGATGAATCTTTCAAAATAATTAAGATTAAAGAAACAAGATTACAGAAGAATACACAAATATAACTCAATTTATATAAAGTTGAAAACATACATAAATAAATAATACATACTTAGGGATGAATACCTATGAAGTAAAATCGTACAGGAGAGAAAGAATAATAAACACAAATTCATGGTTATTACCTCTGGGGAGAAAGAAAGAAGATGCCATTAGGTAATGGCACAAAGGGCCTTCTAAGGTGTTGGTAATATTATATTTTTTTAAGCTGGATGGTAAATAAATAGGTATTCATTTACTTTTCTTTAGAACTTATGTTTATATATACATATAGATTATATATTATGCTATACAATATACATTAGTTTATGTGCATCAAATATTTCATAATTTAAAAGCTTAAATAAAGCCTATTTCAATAATTATTTTCAATAAGTGGCTCAAGAAAATAATTTTGTTATTGCTCTTTTTTTAGGAGCTATGGAAAAATGAACTCCAACTTACATAAAATCTACTTTAATTTCCTCATTCCAGCATGGATGAGATCCACTTGCTGTATTGGTTTGGTATACAGTGTGCTGGAAAGAAACTTCCACGAATGGATTTACAGTATCCTGAAACACATAATAAACATTGACTAGATTTTGAAATACTGTATATACTCGATAAAGATAGAGGCCTAGGAAATTACTTGGCAAAACATGGCTTAATTTTTCTAGTTTTTCAAATGACCATTATTTATTTATCTATTGAATAAACATCTATTGTGTCTATTCTATATCAGGTACTTTTCTAGGATCTAAAGATAAACAGAACTTTCTCTTAGGGATTTTAAAGTCTATCAGGGGAAAACATACAGGTAAACAAACAAGTGCAATGAAATGTGAGAAATTAGAAAAATATCTTTAAGGTATGAAAATTATTCAGGAAAAGAAATTATTAACTTTTGGGGGGTGACAATAAGGAGAGTATCATTGTTTGAGCGTGTGCTTTGAAACTTTAAATCGTAGTTCATTTGGACAATAACATGGATATGTGTCGAGGCCATTCCAGGCAAAGGAAACAACTAGTAGGGCCCTCGTGGAACAAGGAGTAGCATGATATGCAGGATAGAGAGAGATGAGGCTGATTGTAGGCGTGGGCCTGATGCCTGAAGATTTTGTAGCCATTTTAAGGAGCTTATACCTTATCACACAGACTCTGAGAGCAGGGAATGAAATGGTTAGAATTACATTTTATAAATGCCACCTTTACTGTGTCATGGAAAATAAACTGGAAGCCAAAGAAAATATAGATGGAGAGATGAATTAAGAGTCAATTGTAATTCAAAATAACATAATCAATATTGTACTTTATAGAAGTGTTAAATACTTATCTCATGTAAGATCTCATCTGAGGCTACTGATTTGATTGTTTCTTTATGTCTGAGGCAAGATATAGATGATTTTGAACAAGTAGGCATATCCAAGGCTCTTCAGGAAAAACAATATAGAGACATACACCTTAATTAGTTTTAATATTAGTTTTGGTAGGAGTGGGTGGGTTTTTCCTGTGCTTATGAAGATATATAAGTCAGTATCTATGGTTCTTACTGAGTTTGCTTTGAATTGTCATATCATGTGTGGTTACAGCTAAACATTTGATAATTACTACTCTGGAAGCGCAACTCCTAAATACTGAACTATGGATTAGATCTGGTCTATGATAAAATATTCACAGGTATTCAGTAAAAGGGGAAGAAAGGGCAAGTTATTCATGATGGATGTCAATTAAAATATATATTGTGGGTGGAAGATTACCCAGGTGCCAAGGCAAGAGACTGAAGGCACAAACTGTTGCGGTGTAATAGAGAAAATAGTTAGAATAAGAATAGTTACACTACAAATTAGATGTAGAGATGATCATGGACATTAACAGTCATTAGTATAAACGTTATTAATCATTAGCTTTTAATATTACTCTTTGTTGTATTACTAACATAACCAAGGAATAACCAGCGGGTATAGGGTCAGGTGCTGAAGGGACATTGTGAGAAGTGACCTAGAAGGCAAGAGGTGAGCCCTCTGTCACGCCCACATAAGGGCTGCTTGAGGGCTCCTTGATCAAGCGGCAACACCGGTGCCTGGGAAGGCACTCGTTACTTAGCAGACCACGAAAGGGAGTCTCATTTCCTTGGAGGAGTCAGGGAACACTCTGCTCCACCAGCTTCTTGTGGGAGTCTGGATATTATGAAGGCCTGCAGTCATCTGGAGGCCTAAACCCCTCCCTGTGGTGCTGTGCTTCAATGGTCAAGCTCCTTGACCACTTTCATGCTCCTCCCGCACTCCTGGTTCCTCTCTGAAGTTCTTAGAAGATAGTGGTAGAAGAAATAGTGAAAGTCTTAAAGTCTTTGATCTTTCTTACAAGTGCCATAGAAGAAAATGCTGATGTATGCTGCCTTCCGTCTCTGCTTTGGCTACCTAAAAGGGAAGGGCCCCCTGTCCCATGATCATGTGACTTTCTTGACCTTATCAATCACTTGGACGACTCACCCTCCTTACCCTGCCCCCTTGTCTAGTATGTAATAAATATCAGTGCGCCCAGCCATTCGAGGCCACTACCAGTCTCCGCGTCTTGGTGGTAGTGGTCCCCCCGGCCCAGCTGTTTTCTCTTCATCTCTTTGTCTTGTGTCTTTGTTTGTTATGATCTCTCATCTCCGCACATGGGGAGAACACCCACTAAGCCCCATAGGGCTAGACCATACTATGTATATATATATACACACACTATATATATATATTACAAGTTATACTTTAAGAATATATCCCTCCTACTTTTTTGGTGTTACAATATTCTTTTTTTTTTTTTTAACAGCAGGATGTTATAGAAAATGGTGGGGATTTTATATGTCTTTATTTCACAAAACAGCCTTTGAAATATGCATTTGTTTTGAGCATATTTAATCCTTTTAGATGAACAAGACTGTAATTTGTAAGACAGTGGCAAAACCTTTAAGAGATGTTAACTATAGATTAGTAGCCAGTAAGCAAAATGTTTCTTTTTCATAGGAAGAATTCATGAGTTGTGGTAGGCATAAATGTAAGCAAGCAGGGCACATGTACTGAACACAGACAGAGGGGAATGCCTAACATTCTTAAGGCATTTGGGTACTAAATATTAGTAATATATAAATCATACTGACACTAAATATATGAGACACTAAATATCCAGGATACACTAAATAACTGTGGGCACTTAATATTCATGATGCTATACTTTGCCCATCCACTGGTGATGTCCACTCTGGCCCCATGTATCCTCTGCCCCCAAAACACAAATAAAACACACTGGGGCACATACAATTTGTAGATGTTACCTAAAAATAGCAGGTCTAAAACACAGCAGGGTGCAACTGTAGCAATTCTGATTTTACACACCATTCCACATTTGCTTCACAGCTTTCCTGGGGCATTTCCCAAAACAAAATTAGTGTCCCACTCATTTTCTCCAGCTTTCTGCTTCCAGTACTGAGAGAGTCAGTGGCATGGAATAGGGCAGTTGGCAGCAGAAGCTTCAGAATTTTCACAACAGGGAATAGAGACAAAGGCATTTACTTGATACAGTATGAGAAGGTGAGAATGCAGCCCATACCCTCAAAATATACATGTTAAAGTTACTCCAGGAATCTTGAACCTCAGAAAACTCTTAATACATGGCACTGACGGTAGGTTTGACTATGCAAATGAAGATTTCAATTTTCATTCATTTTATGTATATGGAGCATTAACAAAGTGCGAAGGTTTACAAATAGAACAGCATGGAGAATTATCATATTTAAGGTAGACCTTTTGCAACTCTAAAAATTGGGGCATATTGCCTTACCTATTAATTGTTGTTTTTCTGGTGGGAATATTATAGGCCCTCACTATTCGGACAAGAATCTTAATATCTCCATCAGAGATCGTCTGTGCTCTGACTTTTTTCCTTTCTTTCCTCTGAGGTTTTAACTTTCTCCGTGGTTCAACAAACTGACAAACTGCATCTGTCAATTGGCTAAAGAGTAAAAATTGATCATTAGCCTCGTTTGTTTTCTTGGTTTTAAAAGATATCAGTCTTTTGAGTAATTGAAATGAGACCATTATTCTGAACCATATTCTCTGCATTATGGAGGGGACACCGAATTGTCTTAAGGAGAAATCTTTTCCTTAGCATAGGAAGGGAGAGATGCTATGTTCCCTCATGTTGAGAGAGACCGTGATTGCTCCTTGCCCTTTGGGTACATGGTCCAAACAGAGACGTGGACATGGAGAGGTAAAGCCATGAAATATGATGATCTTTTGGAAGATTATTCATTGTTCAGAAATCATTCTCTTGAAAGTGCCCGAATATTAACATTTTCTACATGGCTCTGAAACTAGAATTAGTTGTATATGCCGCCAACCTGGGCAACACAAATCCATAGAATTATAGTTTTATGTTCACACTCATTTTTCCCTCAAGGACTGAAAAGTAAAACACAATAGAGTTCAGCATCCTAAATGAGTTAAAACCTTATTGATCATTCTGAGTCTGCATGTGTCCTCCAGGGAGTTTTCCCAGAGACAGCCCTGTTCCTACCCTTAGTTCACAGATAGAACAGTATGAGAATTGAGTGACTTCACCAAACGCCCTCCCAGCTGCTGCCTGTGGATCTCAGCACCTTTGTACAGCTGAGGATTTTCTGTTTTGCAAAGGGGAGATTACAGGCTTAGCGTGGTGCTAGCAGCAACATCTTTTCCCTTAGCAGTCTCAGGACAGGAAATCTTAGGGCAAAACTAATTTGGGACAAACGTGTTTCTTGAATTTTTCTTTCTTGCCCTAAAACCTGTCTAAGGAGAGGGCAAAAAAACTGCCCCCAAATACCATATAATTGAAAATATATCATGTAGATATCCCAAAATGCAACTTTAAATTGACCAAATATTTTAAGTCATTGCATTTCACGTTATAATCTGAAACTGCATCTTCTGACATATGGCTTAATTAAAATAGAAATAGAGAACTTAGAGGATTTTAAAGAGATTATCTTAAAGGTTTATATTTCATACTTAATAGTCTTTAGCAATTACCTTGTAGATACAATTTCTTCATAATCAGTCACAATATCTGACAAGTTATATTTGCTAATTTTAACAATTCTCTTCATTATCAACCTTCTCACCTAAAAAAATTTTAGAATTTAATAAATAAATGTATTGTTTATATTTTAAGGTTTAGTATTTACAAAGCTACTGGTGCCACTATATTTTACTCCTAATTTTTGCAAGCAATGAATGGAGTGGGGGATTAGACAAGTGAAAATACTATTCTGTTTGCTGCCATTATTAAAGTCATTTCCAACTTTCACACTGTCACGCCAAAGGTAGTTTATTTCTTTCCACTTTTTTTGTCCTTCTACATCTAGTTCATCTCATCCTAAACTCTTTGCTCTGTTATTTTTTTCCTCTAACTCACAGTGTATGTGGCCAGAACTAGTTTTCACCAAAGGAGACGACTGCCCTGTGAATCCACTTCTACAATAGCCACTAGTAATGGATGTGAGTCTTGATCTACAAACACAAGGAAATGTGATCCCATTTCTGTATTTCCTTCAAGTCAATCCTATTCTGACTTTAAGACCTCATTCTGGCAAGAAAGTCAGTGCTTGAAGGAAGCCATCTCTTTGAGCTCTTCCTACTTGGAGAACCCACAGACCTTAGTTCCTCCAAGGACTCTGAACATCTCCTTTTTAGTCTGAGGAAATCCTTCCCTTTCTCCTTTTACCCTGTCTTTAGTTTTTCAGATACAAAACCAGACAGAGGCAGGTCTGGAGGCAATTTTCTGCTTTCTGTCCTGTCAAAGATCATTCTGGAGACAACGTAACCTAGACCCTAGTTATCTTCTTGAAGCAGGTAGGAAAATGGAGTGGTGAGAGACGAATGGGAAAAACATAACTAACTCCTAAAAATTATCCTGCCACACGGACAACAAATTGTTTCCCTTGAAGGTGAACAAGGACCTCGGTGGCCCCTTCACTGGCCACTCTCTCTCTCTTCTCCCACTCTCCCTTGGCACGATGCAGGCTGAGCTCCTGGCTGTTCCTCTCACAGGCCAGGTGTGCTTCTATGCCGAGTTTTCTACGCTGGTTCCATCGGCCTAGAATGTTCTTTCCCTAAACTTCCATGGCTATCTTCCTCATCTCGTTTAGGTCTTTTGCAGAAGTGTTACCTTCTTACCAGATTCTTTGACTACTTCTATTTAAAATTGTGCCCCTACTCACCCCAACGCCCCCTACCTCTGCCTCCGCCAGAACGCCTATTCCCTCTTCCTACTTTATTTTTCATAGCACCTTTCACTCTGTAACATACTAATAATGTGTCTCCCATTATCTGACTTATATTATACTCAAGGAGCTCAGGAATTATAGTAGGTGCTCAATAAATATTTGTTGAATAAATTAATGAAATGGACAGATTGAAGAGATGTGCTACCCTCTTAGAGAAAATGTTTCAGTAAAAGTTTTCTCTAGTAATATTTGAGACTACTGGGACCTCATTCTGTACCGCTGTAACCCTGGCCTCAGCCATCACTGACTCCAGTAACACAGCAGGAAATGTAATGCACATAACTCACAGTTGCATGAGTTCCTCCCATGGAAAGATTTAGGTACCTATGGCCCTAATAGGCCTCCAGGAGCAAACTTCTCCAGTATCTTTGATTATAGTAATTATCCCATAAAACTACCAAACCAGTAGTTTCATTTTATTTTATTTTTCAAACCTGTAGTTTTAAACTGTCCTCAGATAGCAAAGAAGTCTTCACAAGGAGTTAAAATCTAAATACAAAATGTTTGGAAAGTGCCTTTCCGGGATTCCTGTATGAAGTTCAAGCATTCTCAGATACTTGCTCTCTTATGTCCTTCCTAACCGTCTGCTACCCTCCCTCGTGGGTTTCTCCTTACATAAAAAAGAAGAAACAGGATAAGAAGGATATGTGTTCTCTTTTCTTATAAGCAAGAACACTTCTTTATTTCCCAAGAGCACAAACTCACTATTAAAGCACATCCCAACTTAAAAAATAGAGCGAGCTAGTAAAGAAGAAGTAAGAGAGTCAGGGATGAGTGGGAAACACAGCTGCCAGTGAAAAAGGGGGCTGTCTCATGCCTGGGAGAGCTACAGCAGTTCACATTCCATCTCACAGTCATAGTGTACGAACTAGAGGAATACTTGCAGTTTGATCTCATTTGCTGCTCACATTGGATGTAAAGCAAAGCAAGCATTAATGTTGTTCGTTTTTGTAAAAAATAAAGTAGGACTCAGTGATTTGGTTACTTGCCGGTGACACACAGGGTAGTAAGAACAGGTCTTTAGAACACACCTGCCTGGGGGTCTACTAGCTATACACGGTTGTCTCTCACCTGTCCCCATGAGGGATCTGGAATGTATCTCTTATATCTTTCCGTAGCTTTCCCTGCTTCTTTTCAAATTACCCTGCAAGGCTGCTCTGGTGCTCTACCGCAAAGAAGATGTAGGTGGGTGAGAGTCTACTTTTGTAGGAGTTGTAGAAACCACCTCAGCTCCCATCCTTTAATTCATTAATTTCTCAAACATTTATCAGCACTTTCTAAGTATAAGATACTATGCTAGGCACTAAGGAGCTGTAGATGTTGCCCCTGCACTAAGCTAACTAAGTCTAGTGGCGTGATGAGGGGTCGACAGAAATCAGGCATGAAATCCAGTGAAGGATTCCACTCAAACCTGGTTAAGGCTCTGCTAGAGTGTTTTGTAAACGTTCACTATCTGGCTTTGTTTCAAAGCATATCTATTTTTCTAATACTGTCTGTGTGCCTCTGGTAGCTCCTTCATCCCTTCATCTCCTGAATTGCTATGGTCCATGACATCATGAGGCACCAGTAAATACAGGGGTTCTGGCAAAATGATGGGGTATCTCTCAAGGTGAACTTTTAGAGTCAAAGAAGAGATGGGAAGTCTTTAAAATTTATGTTTAAACAGAAAAGTTTGGGATGTGCTTTAATAATGAGTTCACTGTCAATGAAGTAACCTAACTCTCATCAAGAGGTCTGAAAAGAACAGAAAACTCCTCAGTGATCTGGAAGAGGTGACGAGTGAGTGGATTTGTCCATCTGACTCTCTGGAAGGACTATAATACCATGGATCTAGTAGACAAGTTTTCACAAAAACAAATGCAAATATGTTTCTGATACTGTGTGGTTACCTTTTTCAGCAAATTGGCAGAATTAATCCTTTGTGCTGTAATAGAATTTACATCTGAAATGGATACCTCCTTCTCTTTCTGACTTTCATACTCCTAAATACAGAATTGTTAGTTTCACTTCTTGAATGTAACGAAGAGTTTACATATGATACATTGCAATAAATATCACTAGTCACTTCAGTCCATGTGTAAGACACTGGAAACACTCTGAGACTGAGAGAAGAAAACATTTCTTCTAGATTCTCCCACTGAGGATGAGCTAAAACCAGTTTCTAACTATATTCTGTTTGGGTCTAGATTGAAGTCCATTCATCTTTTAAATTAGAGTAATGATTAAGAACAAGATTTGTGACTGAGAAAATGATTTTTTAAAAAGTGAAGAGGATTGAGAAAAGATTCTTCATGTATGCATTTGCCCTGTATCACTAAAAACAAAATAAGTGGTTAAGAGCATGGGCATTGGAAGCAGATAGTCCTGGGTTCAAGTTGGCCTGGGCATTTACTAACTGGTGTGGTTTGGAAAAGCTGATTAACTGCTCCAGACCCCAGTTTCCTCTTCAATAATAATAATAATACCTCTGTCACAAGATTGTTTGTGAGACTTAATTGAAACAATATATGTAAAGGGCCTGGCATATAGTAAGTAGTCAACGTGTGCTGACTATAATCAATAATTTTAATATGACATATATAGTCAGTATAAGATTATTTGTCAGGATGCTTCATCTAAATAAAGTAAATTTGCATTTGTTATTTATGCATTTTCAGTATTATATATCCCCAAAGCACTTGGAAATGATTTTATATTATAGATATTATTAAAGACTATACAAAAATAATGAAGTAAATACTTTAGAATCTTCAGCCATGAAACAACGCATGCTCCATTATCTGAAGGTAAGTTACTTGTCCTTCTAATTATCCATAAGAAATCCTGAAATTAATTCTTTTGCAAGTAACAACTTTTATTTAAGAAAATATTATATTGCCATTTCATACCACTTTATTTACCTTTTTTTTTTTTTTTTTTTGAGACAGAGTCTTACTCTGTTGCCCAGGCTGGAGTGCAGTAGTATAATCTCAATTCACTGCAACCTCCGCCTCCTGGGTTCAAGTGATTCTCCTGCCTCAGCCTCCCAAGTAGCTGGGATTACAGGTGTGTGCCGCCACACCTGGCTTATTTTTCTATCTTTAGTAGAGATGGGGTTTCACCATATTGGTCAGGCTGGTCTCGAACCCCTGACCTTGTGATCTGCCCACCTCAGCCTTCCCAAGGGTTGGGATTACAGGCGTGAGCCACCGTGCCCGGCCTCACATCACTTTATTTACTTTTAAGGTATTAAGTTTTAGGAGTTAACACAATACTCTGGATATTAATATTTTAATTTTATATATGTAGGGAATAACTTTTCTAATCTGTAGGCTTTTAATTTTAATGTTATAAAATTTATTAATCTGGCCAGACACTGTGGTTCACGCCTGTAATCCTAACACTGTGGGAGGCCAAGGCAGGCAGATCACTTAAAGTTAGGAGTTCAAGACCAGTCTGGGCAACATGACAAAACCCCGTCTCTACTAAAAATACAAAAATTAGCCAGGCGTCGTGGCGCACACCTGTAGCCTCAGCTACTAGGGAGGCTAAGGCATGAGAATCACTTGAACCCAGGAGGTGGAGGTTGCAGTGAACCGAGATCACGCCACTGCACTCCAGCCTGTGTGACAAAGTGAGACTCCATCTCAAAGAAAAATTAACTAATCTTCTTCTTTATCATTTATACTTTTCATGTCTTATTTAAGAAATACCTTTGTATCCCAAAATTGAAATGCCCATTTGAAGTTTTGCTTTTCACAAGTAATCTTCACTACACATGGTATTTATTTCTTTTCTGATATCTGAATCTAATTTTATTTCTTTCCACATGTATGAATAACGATTCCAGAACCAGTTAATGCATCCTTCATTCTTTTCCAACTGATTTGTAAAGACAATGCTGTCAAATATAAAATTTCCACATATGCATAATAAGCCTATTCTATTTCTTTGGTTGGGAATTGCATTTCTATATTTACAGCTTAATATGAGTAGTTTTGGCAGTTTACAATGTTGACTCTTCCTATCAATGAACATTTCCTCAGATTCTTTTGTATATCATTCAAAAATACTTCAAAATGTTATCTGTTGAGTTTTTGCACAACTTTTGTCAAATATATTCCTATGTATCTTACAGTCTTTATTGCTCTTACAAGTGATATATTTGTGTTTTGTTTGTTTGTTTGTTTGTTTGTTTTTTTGAGACGGAGTCTTGCTCTGTCGCCCGGGCTGGAGTGCAGTGGCCGGATCTCAGCTCACTGCAAGCTCCGCCTCCTGGGTTTACACCATTCTCCTGCCTCAGCCTCCCGTGTAGCTGGGACTACAGGCGCCCGCCACCTCGCCCAGCTAGTTTTTGTATTTTTTTTAGTAGAGACGGGGTTTCACTGTGTTAGCCAGGATGGTCTCGATCTCCTGACCTTGTGATCCGCCCGTCTCAGCCTCCCAAAGTGCTGGGATTACAGGCTTGAGCCACCGCGCCCGGCCTATATATTTATTAAATTACATTTTTAGTGGGGTTTTACTGGTATATTAGATGCTATTTATTTTTGTTTAATTTTTTTCATATTTTCAAACATATAGAAAAGTAAAAATATATATATACACACATGTGTATGTGGGTGTGTGTATAATTTTTTTTTTTAAGACAGGGTCTCACCCTGTCACCCAGGCTGCAGTGCAGTGGCAGGAGCTCAGCTTACTGTAGCCTTCACCTCAAGTGATCCTCCCACCTCAGCCTCCAAGTAGCTGGCACTACAGGTGTGCTCCACCATGCCCAGCTAATTTTGTTTATGTTTTTGTAGAGATGAGATCTCATTATTTTGCCCGGGTTGGTCTCAAACTGCTGGACTCAAACTATCCTTCTGCCTCGGCTTCCCAGAGTGCCGAGATTACAGGCATGAGTCACTGCACCTGACTGAAAAAAAGAAATATTAAAATTCATATCCCTACCCCATTGATTAAATAATTAACATTTTATCATATTTGTTTTACCTGTTTTTATTTATTTTATTTTCGGCTAACATATTCTCAAGTAAATTATAGCCATCATGACACTTTAAGCATCTCTAGATAAATACTTCAGTATGAATCTCCAAAGACTAAGGATATGCTTCTATATAACCACAATGCCATAAGCACCACCAGCAATTCTCCAGTATTATCTAATATTTGATCCATATCCAAATTTCACCAAGTAGCAAACTTAAAGCAACTAATATGAAAAGCTAGCTTTATTTGATAGTGTGCTAGAGCTAGCTGGCACCAGCTGCTGAGAACCTATTGTGCATTCCAGCTTTTGTTTTCTTTTAGAAATATTTTAAAGATTCTAACATTGAGATGGGCTTTATAAGTAATGTTTAAATTTATTGCGGTAGTGTCTCTCCCCCTTACTCCCAAAGCCGCTTTTAAATCGGTGATACATTTTATGATAACAAAAATACAATAGTTACATAAATTTAGAATATGCCTAAAGGATTTTGGCTGCTGAATACTGAATAGACTAGACAACACTAAATTGTAAAGTCAAGCTGAAGAATTTCTGGAATTTGGGAGATACGTACATTTTTAATGTCTATAGAGAAGGGAGGAAATCTGTCTACAGATTATTAGCTTAAAAAAACAGAAATAAATTAAGATAGGGTTAAAGCAGCAAACTGTTAACTTTATCATACAATAAGCCATATTCAAATAGAAACCAAATACCTGGAAGAGTAAATCTGGAATCTCTGTGTCATGGAGGGGCATTTGCTGTAGAAGGAAATTATCTAATTGACCTGCATTTCTAAGTTGCAATAGCTGGAAACGTTTACTCTTTGTCATTTCCTCTTCAGAAACAAAGTTAAATTCATCTTGCAACTGTTCAAGACGAAAATACTTCGGAATATCTTGCCCCTTAAGTCTCATGTACTGTAAAACATAAAAATGCAAAGCCTTTACTTAAAATATTAATTTTTTAAAATTCAGGAATTACTTCAAAAGACTTTTTCCCCCTCAACTGTGAGATCTGAATGGCAATATAAGTAGGAAATGGAGCAACTGAATTTGTAGTCTAGAACATAAAAAAAAAAAACAAAATAAAACAAAACAAAATAGAATCCAGCCTTTGTGGCTTTCCAACCTTTTCCCAGTCATGAGTTACAAAGAAAACGAAAATATTTGTACTGTACACTGAATTTTGTATCGTACACTGATAGGACAGATGAGAGTGTTCCTATCTGGTTGTCCTGAGTTGAGAGAGGATCAATACTTCTGTATACCTATAACCAATTCTGCACCTCAGGTGAGAAGCTCTAATCTAGGGAGCTTACTTGCAGCAATCTAATTTATGGATTGTTTTATTCAACAAATGCAAATGTGAGTGCATAGTACACGCAAGGAATAATGCTAGCTGCCATCAGAGAGACACAGATTTATTAGCTGTAGTTCCACAAGGAAAAATAAAATATATGAATGAATAACTACTGTAGGCCAGGTGCAGTGGCTCACACCTGTAATCTCAGCACTTTGGGAGGCCATGGCGGGTGGATCACATGAGGTCAGGAGTTCAAGATCAGCTTGGCCAACATGGTAAAACCCCGTTTATCAAAAATACAAAAATTAGCTGGGCACAGTGGCACGTGCCTGTAATCCCAGCTACACAGGAGGCTGAGGAAAGAGAATCGCTTGAACCTGGGAGGCGGAGGTTGTGGTGAGCCGAGATCACGCCACTGCACTCCAGTCTGGCAACAGAATGAGACTCCGTCTAAAAAAAAAAAAACCTACAGTAAAAGGCAGAATGAAATTAGAGTCATAAGAGTTGATTTTTTTAAAAAGTAGAAGAAAGGTTAACAGGAAAGCAAGGAAAGAAGATGCAGTGCCTAACTGAGGTTACCAGGGAAGCATTTATTAGACTTACAGGGTGAATAAGGTAACTGTTATGGATGCCCTTCTAGGCAGAGCAGTGGCATGAATAAAGGTATGAAGAAAGCATGTGTGAGGTACATACAGCAGTTCAGCTGGCAATAAAGAAGAGTAGAAGTGACTACATAATAGAGTCTGAGAGAAGGAGTGTGTTTATAAATCATCTCAATATCTTCAGTATCTAATACTATGGCTGGCACATGGTAACTGCACAATAGATGTTAGCATAAAAGACTGTCGGATGTGCTGTGGCTGCTAAGTAGTGGCAGAGGACCATCCATCAGGCCTAAAGGAGGAATTATTTCAGTTGCTGAGTTTCTAATTGCCTTTACAGTATTGTACACTGGTTGAAAATGGTTTCTGTCCTCAGATTTACTTTTACATAAACCCTAGAGCCTAGAAAAATATATAGCAAACTATGGGGGAGAAAGGGGGGTAGAGCTTAGGAAACAGAGTATGTTTACAGTATTGATACTTGCTTTAACTTACCATAACAAATTCCATTAAATCAGAATATTCTGGATTATTTGGATCAATTCTGACTTCATTTGCCCATTCAAAAAGCTTCTGTTCATTAATGAGCCATGGAATTCCAGGAACACTTCTCGCATCTACATTCCTTAACATACTAACATAGAGAAAATATTTTGTGAACTCGCATACAATAAACAATATATGTATTACATACAATACACTGTTATATAGGGTAAAAACGTACCCATTCTGGGTATTTGAAGATAAAATTTATCCATCCTCTGTATTTATGGATAAAATAGAAAGTTGAGATGTGATATCTCTCCTAGTTCTCACTCTAACTTGTATCATAGCTTTTTGATAAATGTTTGTAAGAGACAGTAACCTTATTAAGAATAGTCCGTAAATATTGATCCTTGCCATCTATATTGTATGTAACAGCTAAAATATTGTAGATGCTTAAATGAATGGTGCTTATTGGATGTATTATGTAAACCCTAAGCATAGTAACTTATTAAAATATTTTCTTTTCACAGGGTGTACAATATTGAAATTTAATCAAAATATTCACTTAAGCAAAATTAAGAAAGCACACAAAATAAAAACCACTTTTAGGCTACATCTTTACAGTGGAAACATAACAGAAAGTAATGCAAGTAACTGGGTAAGTATGTGCCAGAGGACCATCCTTGATCATATGAGATAATCTTTTTTTTTTTTGAAACAGAGTCTCACTCTGTCGCCAGGCTGGAGTGCAGTGGCGCGATCCCGGCTCACTGCAGCCTCTGCCTCCCAGGTTCAAAGCAATTCTCCTGGCCGGGCTCGGTGGCTCACGCCTGTAATCCCTGCACTTTGGGAGGCCGAGGCGGGCGAATCACGAGGTCAGGAGATCGAGACCATCCTGGCGAACACGGTGAAACCCTGTCTCTACTAAAAATACAAAAAATTAACCGGGCGTGGTGGCGGATGCCTGTAGTCCCAGCTACTCGGGAGGCTGAGGCAGGAGAATGGTGTGAACCCGGGAGGCGGAACTTGCAGTGAGCCGAGATCGCGCCACTGCACTCCAGCCTGGGCGACAGAGCGAGACTCTGCCTCAAAAAAAAAAAAAAAAGCAATTCTCCTGCCTCAGCCTCCTGAGTAGCTGGGACTACAGGCAAGTGCTACCACACCTGGCTAATTTGTGTATTTTTAGTAGAGAGGGGGTTTCACCATGTTGACCAGGATGGTCTCAATCTCCTGACCTCGTGATCTGCCTGCCTTGGCCTCCCAAAGTGCTGGGATTACAGGCGTGAGCCACTGTGCCCAGCCATGAGATAATCTTAAAAGCTGGAAAGCTGTAAAAGATAGGCTAGACTCATAAAATATTCTTAGCAACTAAGTGCAAAAGGAATTCAACTCTAATGAGTAAGGATTTCTTTAGAGCCATCAATTATCCGAGCGATTTAATCTGTCTCTTCATAGAGAATTTGTCTTATCATGTGTAACTAGAGGAATTTGGACTACGATCCAAATTTCTACAATCCTTTCTATAAAGTAGTCCGGAAAGGTTCCTGTCTATAAATTGGGATTCCAGAAATACAGTTCTGACACGGATTCAACAACGTCTTAGCCCAAACATGGGCACACATTTTACACTGTCTCCTTCCCATTCGTTCATATTTCTTTGATGAATCTTCTGAGGCTATTGCTGCAAAAGCCAATGTATGGTATGGTAAGATGTAAGGAAAATTACTAATAGGTGAAGTTTGCACATTCTTCTTTTCTTTTGCTTCCCATGTCTGCCCTCGTTTCGAACTGTTTTGATATCTATGTCACAAGAGTGCTAGGACCTGACACCCTTGACACCATCATGTAATAAATTTTCCTTCTAGAAACAATCTTAGCCCAGATCCCCTAGAAGATAGCCTCAGGTAAAGCTTAAATCCTAACGAATAGATTAGAGAGAAACTGTTCCCATTATATCCTTTAACAACAACAACAACAAACAACAAAGAAAGTTGTAATTGAATTTCAACATAGTCCCATGGTTTCTGCCTCAGAGAAAGTAATAAAAATCTCACAGCCTTGCTACAATGATTCCCCCAGCTGCTCCTATAGCTGTGGGCTATGGTTCACAGCAGTGCTGTTCCTTGGGTCAAAACCAGTCAAATGATTGAAGATTTCTCCCTCCCTCCCTCCCTCCCTTTCTCTCTTCCTTTCCCCTCCCCCTTTCTTCTTTTCAATTGAAGATTTCTACTTTGATGATGGAGAGCTGGAAGCAGTACTTTATAAAAGGCATGGAAAACTCTTTGATTGTTGTTTATCTAATGCAGCCCTGATATTTACATCTTATTTCCGACAAAAGAATCAAAGTATAGCATAGCCCCAAGAAAGAGGCGAGCTTTAATTCTAGCAGGCCCCAAGACCTCGGCTTATACACCCAAATGCAAGGCCATAGCCACCATGTTTTTAAATTGAGGTAAAATATACATAACATTTACCACTTTATTTTAAAATACACAATTCGGTGGCATTAAGTACACTCACAATGTGGTGCAACCATGACCACCATCCATTTCCAGATTGTAATGATGGTTGTACAACTCTGTGAATACATTAAAACCATTGCATTGCATATTTTAATTGGCTGAATTTTATGGTTTGTGAATTGTATCTCAATAAAGATGTTAAAAAACAGTTAAAAATATAACCGTGCTGAGAGCTAAAATAAACATTCCTGTGAACCAGAAATGGAAAAGAAAGGCAGAGTGGCGAGTGGGGATAGCACTGTGGGCTTGCTGGGCTTCAGGCTGATGAGCAGTCTATGGTGGTTGTGGGCTCAGTTCCTGAGACAGGGAACTAGCACCAGGTTTATCATTTTAAGCCAAAGATTTGAGGGCGCAGGTGGGGCTTAAATAAAGGGACCTTTAAAAAAATACTGACCACTGCATGGGGCTGTGGCTTTTAGAAAGCTATGAGTCCAGAGAGGCAAAGGGACACAGACACTGCCTCATAATGAGGAACTGAACCAGGCTCACAGCTCACCAGCTGCCTAGATCTGTGACGACTCCAATAACAACCCAGTGTAACAACCCAACCTCCCAACCTACCCAGTAAGTAGGCTTACGGCCCACTTCTGGATTTAGGAGGACAGATGAAGTCAAATTCAGAACCATCAGGTAAGGAGGGGTAGATACAGAAGGAGAGAGAGAAAAAACAAAATCAAAACAAAACAAAACAAAATAAACAACAACAAAAAAAACCCACCAAAAACCCAGAAACCTGTAAATCAAAATCACCCAAAAGTTCTCCAACTCAAAATGACCCTGCTAACCAAAACTTCTGAGCAATGAAGCCATGCTCAGAAAAATAATCAACAGTATCAAGTATCAGAACATTAAATTAATTCTAGCTGAAATTCATTTTATGGAAGTCTGCCAAACACATTTTAATGAAGTATGCTTAAGATGTAAAAACAAGTGAAAATTAATAATTCACTTTTAAATGCAAGAAATAATGGAACAAAATGCCAAAATGAAATAAGAAAATGTAGATATGAAAGAGAATCAAACAGAAAACTTGGCAGCAGAAAATAAAAGTAAAAATTATAACATAAAAATCAAATAAAACTTATATTGGACAAAGTTGAATAACGAATTAAGGAACTAAAAAATAGTACCCAGAAATTCATCCAGGATGCAGATTAAATAAAAACATAAAAATATGAAATAATAGTTAGGCTGAGGCTTGGCTGGGCTCAGAGGCTTAGGCCTATAATCCTAGCACTTTGTGAGGCCAAGGTGAGAGGATCGCTTGAGCCCAGGAGTTTATCAGCCTGGGCAACAAAGCAAGACCTCTTTGTCTCTTAAAAAGAAAACACA